CGAGCAGCGCACCCGCGCCCCCACCTCCACCTCCAACACCAAGTGCGAGCCATGCCCCATCGGCACCACCGACCACGACCGCAACCCGCTCACCGCCTGCCAGCCGTGCCTTTACGGCCACTATGTGCCTGCGGGCTCCATCGGCTCCTGCAAGCAGTTCCTGTGCCCGGCTGGCACCGCCGACCTGGACCGCCGCAACGCCAGCACACGCCGTGTACGCCGTGCCAGGCTGGCGTGGACTTTGCCGCCCTCTCTGGCCCAGCGCGATTGCACACCTGTGACGGAGTGCGACCTCGGCTACGAGGAGATGGTGCGCCCCACCATCTTCACCGACCGCCAGTGCCGCCGCTGCATCGAGGCCCTGTTCTACCGCGACAGCAACACGGACTTCTCCACGCGCGTGTGTCGCCCTGCGAGCCTGGCTCGTTTGAGACAGCCACACCCACCATCAGCACGGACCGTGAGTGCCAGATGGGCCGCACGTGCCCCAACAACACGTTCATCTCGCGCCTGCTCACGCCCACGACGCAGAACCACAGGCATCTGCTCGCCGTGGACGCAGTGCCTGTCTAACAGAGTACGAGCTCGTTGCGCCGTCGCTGGTCAACGACCGTGAGTGCCAGCGCGTGCGCACTCGTGCCAGGACACGGAGTATGAGGTGTCGGCGGCCACGGCCACGACGGACTGCCTCTGCACCACCATCAGCGACGCAGCTTGAGGTGCTCCCACCGTGCGTGCGTGCCCGCGTACTCTGTCTCGCTCGTCTTTGACGCCAAGTTCAACGCCCTTGCCGACACGCAGTCGCGCCACGAGGCGTTTGAGGCCGCGCTGGTGCAGTCCATGAACACGACACAAGATGCGTCGCAGATTCATTCTGCGCATCGACCTGCGCCAGGGCACCATTATTGCCACCGTCGCTTCCATCAACGAGGACTTTACGGCGCGCCTCTTCAACCGATCCGTCTCTGGCGACATTACCGTCATGGCCTTCACCGCATCGCCGTGCGAGGCCGACGCGTTCCTGGACGACTCGTCCCTTTGGTTGCACGGGTGCACACGCGATCCGACCCATCGCACAGCAACTGCTGGAGCCTCACACGCACGCACGCTTGCCAGTTCACGTGGACGCCGCATTCCTCCATCAGGACAGCAACAACAGCCACCATCATTGCACCTGTTGTGATCGAGTGCTGCCATCACATGCCACCTTCACCTCCCACATCATCATCATCATCCCAACACTGCTGCCACCACCACCACCACCACCACCAACGACAGCAACCATCTCAAGGCATCGGATGCTGTTGGCTCTTGGACCATCACGGCGCTGTTGGAAGAACCGCTAGCAGCAGCAGTGGTTGTGGTGGTCGTGGTGCACGCCATGGCTACAGCAGCGACAGCTGATGAGGTGGTGGTGGTGAATGTGCTTGCATTCCTCACGAGTTCCAGCAACAGCAAGGAGGTGGTCGCCGTGCTTCTGGTGGGCACACATGTGTTGACTATTGTTGGTGCCATGGCTGGCAGCAGCAGTTGCTGCAATGCGAGGCAATAGCAATGAAGAAGAAGGTGGATGTATGTGGGAGTGCACGGCACGCAGTCACCCTCCCTTTGTGCTTTGCTGTGCAATTGGCGTGTGCGCACACCGATGACGACGATGATGAGACGGCGGCCAATCAAATCACTTCCCATCTGAGGAACCATCGCTTCGTGGCTGGTGCACGCGTACATCCCTTTCTTCCTTCAGGCCGGCCATCGACAGAGCAGCGTTGCAGTGCGCCATGTGGTGTTTGATGATGCGTCACTGTTGTTGTCACTGCGTTGGCTCTTTGTTCACATGCACGCCGCGCATACTCAATGTGCTTCCTTCCTTCCTTCCTTCCTTCCTTCTTGCTGCCTCTTCTCCCACTCTCCCTTTTCAGTGATGTGTGTTTGGTTGCTGGCTGCCATGTTGTGGTGGTTCCACTTTGCTTGTTCAATCGTTTCCCAACAGTACAGTGGGACAGAGCCAAAGACATGAAGAGACGACAACAGCCCTCACACACGGGCACACACGCAACACCAACACGCACATCCAAGCAAGAGAGGAAAGCAGAAACAGAACACGGCACTGCTCAAGACAACAGCCACATGGCAATCGCAGGGTGCCACTTGCAGTGCAGCCAAACAACCAAGTGCAAGGTGGTCTGCAACAACGACAACAAGGGCGCAGTCATCCGCCAGCCACCACTGTGTGTCAGGGTGCTGCAGGGCAAAGAAGACACACGAAGCAGGTCAGTCCACGGCGCTGTTGTTGCTGCGGCTGCTATTGAACGCCTCGCACCAGTGCTTCAAGCACGTCCCTCCAGTGTCAGCTGCACTCAGTTGCCGTCCTTGTTAGCTGGTGGTGCTGTTGTCGTTTGCACCGTGTCTCGCGGATGGCCTGTGTCATGAAGCAGAATGCGTCCAGCACCACCGCGATTGTGCCAGATGGATTGGGCAGTCCAGGACAAAAGAAGACAACGCTGCAGCCTCCATCGTCTTCTTTGCCTGGTCGAGATGCTTGGCAGATGATGTCAGGTACGTTCGGCAACGCAGTGACATCGTAGTCGTCAAGCATTTGCGTATCTGCGGGAGGTGTTGCTGGTGGAACAACAATGGGCACAATGACGTAGGGGCGGCATCTGGGGTCTG